GTGATTTAGTTTTGTTATGCCACCAAGTTATCAATTAAGATTAATAGTAGGTTTGGGTGTTTGTTTAGGGCAWATATAAAGGAATAAACTTGGGGAAATCGATAATTTTTTTGTGAAGTTTAAGGTACGGATTCCTAAACCTTTTTGTTCAGTTAGCTCGTTTAAATATGCTTATGAATTTGTGAGTCTCATTTAACTCATATTTATCCAAATTGTTCGTTATTGCATCTTCCATTCAATCGTATTTGTTCTACGTCATGTATGTATGCATATATATATATATATATGGCAAGGGCGTCTTGTTCTAAGCATGCTATTTGAGTTATTCGAGTTAGTACACGTTTATTTGTTCGGTAACATTTTTGTATGCTTTTTACCCCTAAAACTACATATGTTGGTACTTTTGATCGATTATGTATTCTTCGAATTGAGCCTCTTTATATTACGACTACTTATTATTCAACATAATTCGTTACTTGATTTATGTTTGACTTTTCGTTTGACTTCGTTATTTATTGACTTTATGTAAGACATATAACGTCACATTCGTTGTGACAACTCAACTCTGGGTAACTCGAGCTACTAACCACCTATGGGGGTACCATAGGCACGTCATTGTGGCACCGATGGCGTGACACTAACCGTGGCAGTGTGATCAGTCCACGGCGTCTCCTCTTTTTGTGCTCTTGTGAGAGCTATTTTGGTCTGATGGATATTAGATTTAGGAAGCGTATGGGTCGGCCCTAGCACATGTGATTCGTCTGTAGGGTGGATGTCGGTGTAGTGTCCAACGCCACATCTCACATTTGGTACGTGTGGATCTGCAGTCCAACGTACAGGCCTGTGTGGCCATATGTCTGACACTTGTCATGTTAGTTAATATGCAAGTGTATGCGTTTTCGAGCTCGATTTGTCCCTTCATATGATTTCGTATGATTATGTTATTTGTTGATTTTCTAAGATTTTGGTACTTGTTTGGTTCGATTTTGGCATGTTTGTATTACCATTTTTCTATATTTGTTTATCCGTTCACTGGGCATTTGGCTCGGCCGTGTTTTTTTTAATTTCCTCACGGCAGGTAATCAAGGGACGGATAGGTTTTGTGAAAGAGAGTAGATCAGAATCTTGGTTCCAAGGATTTCAAGAGGTTTAGTGTTATGTTAATTCATTTATTAGATTTTGTTCCTTTCTAGCTATTAGATTAGATTTCTTTGGTTGTTTTTAGATTTTCCAAGGTTGTTGGAGGATTTTGGAAATAGTTTGTTTGGAGACCTTTATATCTTATTTGGAGTTATATTCAATTTCGTTATTGGAAGATTTTATTTTGTATTGGAGACTATATTTTGGAGGTTTTATATAGCGCTCCGTTACGTTTTGAAGTAACCTCCCTTCCTTCGGAATGGGGGTGTTACATATAGATTCCAGTAAAAGTTTAAAGATATAATCTGAATTACCCAGCAGAAGACTATAGTGCATTGATAACTTAGATCAGCACAACCATCAATGAACGCCCTTTGCATCTTTGATGTGTCTATGTTGTTGTGTTTTGTGCATTTGGCACGCAGACAGGACTGTACAGAACTAAAAGGGGAGAGAGTGAGGTAGGCGGTTGAAAAAATTGTGGAAGGCTTTAGGCTTTTAATTTGATATGGGTATTTAGTAATTTACCAATCTTGTCCCACCTTCCTTATTTTTGTTCCACCTATTTTGGTGTCCCACTCAGTCCTATCATGTCCCAGTCTAATGTCGCACCAAACATGAGACAAGAAGTTTTTGTTCTGTCCTGTGCCAGATACCAAATGCACCCAGATATGTATGCATATATATATATATATATAGAGAGAGAGAGAGAGGGGGGGAGATTGACCTGAACAGAAAGAATAGACAAGCCAACCCATTTGCACATGTCCACGTTCTCCTTCATAAAATCCTTCAACTTGTGGAAGTTTCCACTTGGGTCCTGCGGGAAGTCCTGATATGACCGAAACCAAACACCAAAAAATGAAAGACAGCCAGTGCAAGATTATAAACAGCATACAGGCATAACTTGGCAAGCAATGCAGGATGAAGAAAAAATGAAGGGAAAACCAGATCAGGTAATGGAATTATAAGATTATGATGTACCTCTTCCCACTTTGGATTTAAGAATACGTCCATTGTGACTGCACCTTCCAGTATTAGGATCAAAAGGACAAAGACGAGATACTACATCCATGTAAGGACAACAAAGAATTTAACCGTCTGATGAATTAGATAATTATTTTTACTACTTGATAATCTTGCCGAGCCTGCAAGTCTGCTTTGCATCTACGGTCAACTCAGGAAAGTGAAATGAGATATTACGAGTAAAAGAGATTTTTCTTAATTGGCCGCGTAAGAGTTAAGCATCCTTGCCACTTTGATTAGCAACTAATAATCCTTTTTCACTAATTTAATCAATCGTACAATCAAAGTAGATATCAAAAAGTAAGTTTATCAAAATAATATTGTACCAATGTTGTAATTCTTATATGCTTACATAATCTATAAATAATTATAACCGTTTATGCTCCCACTTAATCTGCGCTTAGGTGATTAAGCACCATATCTTCAACCACCTAACTATGCTTAATGCTTTTTAGAACACCGACTACAACAGTACATACATATAAATTAAGACAGCCATATAGAAGGGACTTTAGCCAAGAAGAGAAGCATAGTAATACTCAAATACAAGCATCCATTTGATCATAAGCCATAAGTTGTATCAATTAATGAAGCCAAAACCACAAAAAATAAAGCCCTTTCAATCCAAAATGAACAAAAGTAAGCTCTAATTTGAGAGGATACAAAATAAAGGCAGCAACCATTTGCTGTCTCTGCAGCAATATGTCCCCAGCATGTTATTGCACATAGAATTGCACCAAGTCCAAGGATAGTATACATGAACCTGCATTATTCAAAACATAAACCATAAACAAAATATATGTATAGATTACACCAAAAAGATCAGAACCCAAAAATACAAGTTTGAAAAAGAAAGTGAAAGTTCTATCCTTCATGACACTTGATTCAAAATATGAACTTGTTCGCAAGTGCAAGAAACCAGTGCTTCTGCAGTTCTTTTCTTTATAGTGGCAACTAGTCTATGGGTTCATAAAGAAATGGCAAAAATTAGAGCTTTTGGGCAATAGATGTGACCTCAAAAGAAATAGATAGCACCCATGCATCGAATGTGAGACCTCATGCCATCTCAGCTCAGGGTTTAATGTTTCCACAATTAGCGTCCACATTGTAAATCGAATATCTCTAAATGAAGTGCAGTTTATTAAGGTCAAAAGATATGGATCCACCCACGAATCCCAATCAATTCTTAAAGACTCAATAACCATGATAAATGAGGGGTCTTGAACGAACCCCTTTGGTCAAATCATAAATAAGCAATCAACAAGACAATCTCATTCTAAAACGCCCAACATTATACTTCATTAAATTCACTCTAATGCATATATACGATACAGATTCATAGAAGGAATATAAAAAAATGTGGAAAGTATAATACCAAGAAGCAGGATGATAGGAGTCGTTTGCTTGGCGGTGCCAAATCCTAATCATCCATAAAGCATACAGAATCGTCGCGAACCCACACATCCCAGTGAAAGAATTAACCAGTTTCAGCAACGATTGCGTGCAACTCCTCATTAACATCGTCATTTCCTATGATGAATCAATCACTCTTCCCCCAAAAACGAAAACACGATTATGAAATCCACCTCGTATTATCAGCACCGGTAAAACCAAAATCCCAAACCCTAAGTTCAGAATTAGGGTTAGGATTCAGGCCAAGAATTCTGGAGGGAGAAGGGAGGTGATTTCTGATAATCACCTGACAAGAGGTACGTAAAATTCAGAGCTCGATTTTGCCGGCTTTTGAATGCATGGTGTTAAATATTTTCCATATTTGTGAATTGTTTTCCGAAGTTGTACGTCAAAGTTGCTGTGGTGTAGTGGTTATCACGTTAGTTTTACACACTAAAGGTCCCCAGTTCGATCCTGGGCAGCAGCAAAGTTTGTTTTTTGTTTTATATAAAGGGGATGTTTACTAAACACTTATCGGTAAGCGTTTACCGGTAAAATTTAACATTATTACTTACTTACCGGGTAAAATTTTAGTCCATCAAAACGGTATAGTATGCAACAATTCACCTGGTAAGTGTTTACCGTGGTAATTGGTAAGAGTCGCCGCTTTCAACTACCGGGTAAGACTCTTGGTCTTTGTCTCACTCTTACCAGATAAGACTTTTGATCTTTGTCTCACTCTTACCAGATAAGATTCTTGGCCCTTACCATATTCATCCGTTAAAGTAATATGATTTGGTGTCCACTTACCCAAGTAAGCGTTTGGTAAAAACCCCAAAGTTTCTTTTATGCAATAACTCAAAATTTTGTGAGTATGGTAAGAACTCATTGTTGCCTTTGATCGGGATCGATAAAAATGAAGAAAGCCTCAATTTATGAAAATGCGAGAACGTCATGAAAAACATAACAATATGAATGTTAAAATAAAAAGAATAAAATGTCTGGTTTTTTGTTATAATTTGATTAACTATAAATTTTTATATTTTTATTATTTTCAATTTGCAAAAAAAGACGGATGATTTATTTTTAATTTTAGAAAATGATTGTAACCACATTTTTAATCACATCTAGTCTTAAATACAAGTTAAAAAGCGTAAACAACTTAATGTCTTTAATGTTTAATTTCATACGTAACCAAGTTTTTGCATAAAAAATCTCTAAATATATCCTCAAATCCAAAAGTTGATTCAGTAATAGCCTAGGGGTTCCCATGCCCCTACTCTAGTGTTGACGTTAGGTTGGCAATGGATAAGGATAAAGATAAACCCATTATCCGTTATGTTTCTACCCGTTAAATGAACATATGGGTAAAGGAAATTCTATTCATTACCGGTTTATTGGGCATTTTAGTGGGTAGAGTATGGATAAACGTTTTTTCGTTATCCATTTATGCATTACACGTTATGATATATAGGCGAAAGATCGTATTACAAGAATGATTAAGGTGAGAAGCGTAAGAAGAGATCTGAACCATTGATCACCTTTAATCTCAAACCCACTTATAAATCGCGCTTGATACAGGGACTGACATGTGCTTACGTTTTTCATCTTAACTCTTTTTTTCACCAAAACTCAACCTATATATATTTCTACATAAAAATTAAATTGTTTCATGTATTTTCTTATTTTGATTAAATCTGTTTACTAAAATTAATAGAATGAATATGATAATGTCTATAATTACCTGAAACGATTTCTTCATATTAAACAATTTTATTTAAAATAATTCACTAAAATAAACAATGAAATCGACGGTTTTCATTGTTTGTATAAATGGCATAGCCAAATGTTATTTTTAAAAGTGATAAATATTTGAGAGTAAATAAATGATCATAACCATTCGTATAATCAAGATCTTGAATGCCGTATTCCCATATTTTAGTTTGACCCTCTTTCTTTTACTCTTTCAATTGAAGCCCCTGGACCTTAAGTTTTAGCGGTGAACACAATCAATCCCTAGACTTTTCCCATTTTCATTAAGGCCTTAGAACTTCTGAACTTGTGTTGCTACATGATATGATTAAACACTTTCAATGATTTTTAACATTTTTTTCAAAAGAATAACAATCGATCCACATCACAAGAAATATGGGTTTTAACAACGACTCTTGTCGTTGAGAAAAGTCAATTTATGGTCAAAAACGGTTTATGAAGACGACATGTCGTCAAAATAGCTTCTTACTGAAACATGTCGTCGTTAAAGACGTGTTGCAGAAACTCATGCTTCTAGTAGTGCCAATAAATATTATAATAATCGTAATTTCAATAATATATAAAATTTCCACAAAATAAAAATAAAAATAAAAACTCCATACACAATAAAAATACATATTGTATCTTATTTGTAGAAATTAAATGAAGTATTTTTAATTTATTTTATTTTATATTTGAGGAGCAAAAGATAAATAGATATTTTAAGTGGACCAATGAGCACTTACCAAACTGCTCTTCGTGAATTTGACAAGCTCATTTTCTGTTTTATTATCACTTTGTGTAAGTGTGAACCTTTATTTTATTTTTGATCCATTTTTATTGAATTTAAAATACAAAATACTGATGTGGTTTTTATAATCATAGTTGTCAAGTAATTTTCAATTTCTTATTTCATTGACTACATAGTTAAACTTTTTATTATCATATATTATTTATATTAATAATGGAATGTTGGCAAATCAGTAATAATTGCTTTAGTGTTTAATAAACCGATGACGGTCTACTTCAATTGGTTCGAAGGGTAAGAAGATGTTTGTTCAAAAAGTTGTTGGTCATAGATTTGAGTCCAGGCCTTCTCATACGCGTTGCTATCAGGTGAGTCTTAGATGGCCCATTCACACTGGATTCTTTGGAGGTTGGGTGTTGTATAAGACCGGTTGGGGTTATCGTTACTCAACATTTTGCTCATAAAATGCTTAACGATCATCATTTTTTTGAAAACATAGATACTATCAACATAAAAATTAACTTTAACCATCTTTTTTTTTTTTTGGTTGTTCTATGGAATTATTGACTTTACGTTTGAATTTCTTCCCCTTTTAGTGAACCAATTCATATCAAAGTGGTTACTATTTAAGAAGATATGCCAATTAAGTACTAATTGTGGGATATAATCTTTGGAATTTCTTTGGCATCATTTATTTTTTCAAACATGTCAACTTAGTTCAATAATTTAGTAGGGCCTACATGTCAAAGTGTGGTGTTCTTCATGCGAAATTGTTTGTCTCATTAAGTTGCTAAATGAGAGAATATATATATATATATATATATATATAGGATTGAGTTCACATGAGATCAGATTGTTTTCGCGAGACTTGTGGAACCACATTTTATGCTTGAAACTTCACAGCAAAACATTGTAAAGGTAAAAAAAGTCTGAATCTTCATAGCAAAAACACTGTGAAAATTGTCTTCATTAAATGTTTAACCGACTTTACAAAACAATGTAAAACTTAGTAAAAAAATCATGTTTTTTTTTTAATTCGTGGGTGACCGAACTAGTTTGACCATACTTTGATTAATTTCATAGGGTCCTATAGATAACATTAGAAACATCTTCGAAGTCTCTCAAAAGACCAAAACCAACAACGTATGAGGAACCTTAAAATCTAACTTTTTATTTACGAGTTGATCAAGTTAATCCTCAAATTATAATTTTAATGGATATTAATAAAACAGTAAGTGATATAATACTTAATGAATAAATGGTTGTGGTTTTTTATAGCTAATAGTTGTTGTATCTATAATATTAAAACCACAAGTACTGATCAATAAAACCTTAAATGACATAGTGTCCAACACACGACTTGGTTCAAGGTTTAATTACTTGGTTATTATTTTTATTTAGTATATGCTCTGTACGTATCATTCATTTTGCTTGTAATTTTTTTATATCGTTTATCAAAATCAATAAACTACAAATACATGCACACACACATAGACTTGGGATCACGCGAGACCAGTTTGTTTTCGTGAGATCACTTTTTTACACTTGAAACTTCACAACAAAACTTTGTAAAGGTAACCTTCACAGTGTTTCTTCTGTGAAAGTTCGGATTTTTTTTACCTTTATAGCGTTTTGCTGTGAAGTTTCAAGTGTAAAAAAATGGTCTCACATGTCTCACGAAAACAAACTGGTCTCACGTGAACCCAACCTCACACACACACACACACACACACACACATATATATATATATATATATATGTGTGTGTGTGTGTGGGGG